CACTTGGTTTTAGGAAGACACTGCACTGGCATTTTTCAGACATTACTAAATAGTGGTCACAAGATGGCACTATAGAGACACAAATTACTGTTTTCCTGTCTGTGTAATAAGAAGACAGTTTATGTCAAGGCGTGTGATCAGCAAATTCATGCAAAGTATTAACACTTGTTTTTTTATTTATATATACACACACACTCACCCTTACACATGCATACATAATCACACACTCACATTCACACATACATACATACATCATTCATTAATACATACACAGACTGGGAGTGCTGGCTGCTTGATTGACAGCTCTGGTGGGCTGTCTTATAATTGCAGAGTCTTAGAATTTACTACTGGTCTAAGCCACTCTCACTAAAGGGAGTGAATGCAATATTATTAAATTAAACAAGAACAAATCACTAGCCTTCTGCATGCAACATTCTCTAACTTGCCCTCCCTCAAGCCATATATTCTAATTTAGCTTCACTGGTTTCCCCATCGCTTGTTAGCCTTCAATACATTCTGTTTCCATACCTGTTCCCTTGTTACAATCAGTAAGCTTTACTTTGATTTAGCTAATTTGGGAAGAATTGTTATAAGTTAATATGAATTAGTGTAAGTTAGTTAATATATACCATTTTAATGGACACTGTCCTTCGAATAAAATACATTATAGTTTATGTAGATAATGGGTGAAGTCTACATGTGGACACTGGGTGGGTGGTCTATCTCTGTTTATGGGAGACTGAATTCGTCCTTGGGAGAGTAGTGACCTATAAACTTAGAAGCTGCTCATGTTATCTGAGCAGCAAAGACTAAGTTATACCGTCACAACCCACTAATTCTTCTTCATTATTAGACTCTGGTTCCAGCAGCAGAAATGACACAGGAGAAGCTTGGTGCCTGGGTGGCCAAAAGACAATAATATAAGTGAATTGCACTAAATATAGAGCATAACACTGTGTGCTGCAACATGTCTTAACCACCATCTGATGAAATCTGATTAAACTAACGCCAAATTATTGTCATTGATCAAAATGATCATTACTTGAAATAACCATACAAGTCAGGTCTAGTATACGATATAGGTCAATGAAGAAATCCCATTGTGTTTGAAGCCATTAACTCTTCTGGGCCGAATTTAACTACACACCAGGAAGCATCATATTTTGCAGATCTTTATTTCCTTAGCTCCATAGCAACAAAGAATAACATATAGAAACAAGGAACCAATGAAACACACACAGTATGTATACACGTTGAGGTGGACCTAAGCAGCTCCTCTTTCTTTGCTGCTCCATCAAAGAACAGTCAGGGTTTTGCGTCTCTGCTCTGTAAACTGTACTATTATAGATTGTTTCCTTTATTGATCGTATTTGCTTTGAATTCAACCAACCTTCTATCCCCTCCTATCACCTGGGTTCTAGGGCTGCATTATATGATGCTTCTATTTCTCTACTTTTTCTCTACTTTGGGAACAATTTATTACCTTCCTTGCCCCTCTTACACTGGGGTACCCTGTTGTGCCAGGCTGTTACTGATGTTTCGTTACTCGTTTCCCTGTACATTCTTTAACATTGCCTCTTGTGGATACCTTGAGCACCGATCACCTACAGCACTTCTAGTGCTCGGCACGGGCGTTTTTGCCGAGATTCCTGTTTGTTCATTTTAACGGGTGCAGTGACTATCTTAGATTCGCTCGCTCTCATCTGGCATAGTTTATGCATAGTTTATGGAGAGGAAACTACGTAACCATTTGCAGTCAGAGTGCACTCCCGCTCAACCTTGCATCCCTTTCAGACCCAGTACCCCTGCAGAGAATCAAGACCCCCGCTACTCCTGGTTCACTTAGATCACGGACTACCCGAAAATCACTGCTGAAGTAGTCATAGATGTTTTATAATCCTTCTCTCACCACCAATACTTCCAATTGGTATCCTTTTGAGAGAAATCCACTCTGCGTTGTGTTTTAATAGTGAATGTAATATCCCTGTGTCACCTCTTCCAAGAACTAACATATATCTTTATCCCCTTGTCCAGATAAATATATGACTAGCACTACTAAGGTATTCTACCCGATATTACAAATAAACAGCCAACACCATAGTTCTTACCAGAGAGAATCTGCCCAGTTAAATATTACAGAAGAAGAATGTTACAGAGTTATAGTTAAAATACATTCATAACACTCATACATTCCATGTATCTAATACTATCTGCTACATTGTGTATGTGCTGTGCGATGTTATGTGCAGCTTGTGTGTCAAGCACATATTAAACAGATATATATAATCATAATATTTTCCCCAACAATAGAGACTCCTTTCCAGGCTACAGCAAGGACCTCACAACCAGACGCTCCCAGGCCAGGCACCAGTTTTCAGGGTGGCAACACAGACAGTCTAACAGAGACGCATGCCATGATGACAACTTTTCTGTCATCAATTCACTCCATAAACAAGAGACTTATGAAATTAGAGTCTTCCAATGCTGGAATTTCTAACCCTCCTATGGTCACTCCAGCATTAAAGCCTGTTAACACAAGTACGCAGGGCAATAGTTCTAACCATCATTCATAATCACAAACCTTCCATGCCTCCATACCCCATTAAAAAGGCACACACCAAGTAGACCGTCCAGTAAACCCCAAACAACAACCTATTGATGGGCCAAAATTCAGAGTGCTTTACGACATACTAGATAATCACCCATTTGAATCTCACACCAATTCAGTAATTGAGGCCACCAAATATATAACCTTCTACAGTTTCTTTAGACCAAAATTATTTACAAAAGCAACATTGTCACATCAATCACGGTGTCTTAGTGTTCACGATCTCATAAAAACTACAGATCATTATGTACTCATATTAAGACACACCAAAACCAACCAAGTGGGTCCTCCAGTAGAAATAATACTTTTTCCCACAGACAGCAGCTAGTGCCTAGTTAAAACTCTGGACTGTTACTGCCACACTATAACAGGTCATCCAGGTAATAAGCACTTATTTCATCACATGGTAAACCTCTCACAGCTAAATTCATATTTCACATCAGAACACTAATTATGAGACTTGGACTAGACCCGACTACATTTTCAGGTCATTCATTCAGAATTGGAGCTGCATCAACTTCCTCTAGCAGAGATATTCCAGTGCATTTAATTAAAAGACTAGGATGCTGGAAATCCTGTTTACAATAGATATACTGTATTCTTAAACCAGAGAAAGAGTTAAGTAAAGCATTTAAGAGTGTGACTTTGTAATTGTATTATGTAGTATGTGAGCATTTTTGGAATTCTTTTTGCCCTCTTGATTTACAGGCCTAACCATACATTGGTTTTGGCACACCACAAGCAGCTTTGCTCCCTTACCACAACTTTTGTCTCCGACCACAGATATCAAGGCAAAGGCATGTAGTCGTAGGAGGGGTAAAGCAGCCTATGTAAACTCAGGCTATTGCCATTCATTTCACCCAACCGTTCCCCTCTTTCTCATATCACTACCTTGGTGGGCCCTCTTTATTTACAGGCCTACCAATACGTTGGTTTCGGCACACCACAACCAACTTTGCACTATACACCAGCTTTTGTCCCCAACCACAAGTATTATAAATCACTTCTTAATTGTGTTATGCAATAGCACATTGAAGGTGGCATTTGTGAGTCACTGGTACTTATAAACAATTTTTTTAATTGATATTTTGTGGTGATTTGCACAAATTTACACAATAGTCAATTATGTTCTTGCATCTGCCCTGAGATTTACTTTGATATATGATCCAATCCATGCATGTCCAATTTTGGTTGTGCTGAACACTTTTTTAAGATTAAGCACTGATTTAAGAACTTTATGTTTCAGCACTTTGTAATTGAGGTACGATTTTAAGCTCTACACCATATTGTATCTTTTATTGTAATGGTTATGATGTTAGAGTAACACTTTAAATATCATATAATGACAACAAGGCACTTAGACAAAAGCAAGTAGGGCCCTTCACTTATAATACTAAACATGTTGAATTCATATTTTGTTCAGCATGTGGTCCGTGCAGATATGCTTTAGGTTCTCATCGGACTTGTGGATGAGTAGTTGGTCAACGGTCCTCTAAGACAGTGATGGCTAACTGTGGCCATGAAGGGGTTTGTGATGATGCGGAACTGATCTTTCGACATGATTAATCTACGGTTTCCCAATGGAAGTCATTGCTTGAGATAACTTTTTGGAAACACAAAGTGTTAATATGTGGCCGTCTAAGGGACAACATAATTCGGCCTAATGTCTGTATGACGTGTAGCAGCATATCAATTCCACTGTACATTTATGGTCAATGGGGGCTTTGTTGACTGTAACAGTCTATTATCCAAACCTCCCAATGTAATTCTTCAAAAGCAAACTCTTATGAAAATTGAAAGCTTCAATATCCAGGCTGTAAACTTTGGCAAGCTGCTTTATTTGCTGTCTAGTCAGCCCCCTAAACAGATTTTCCATTAGCCATTTATGGGTCATTTTGGACTGTGTGTCTGAAAACTCTGGCTGCAGTATATAATCCGGTAGGCCTATTCGTTTCATTAGGTAGAAAACCTCCGTTCTTAAAAAGTCGTGCATTACTATGTAGTCATATTTGACAAAGCAAGGGTGGCACAAAGTGACGATTGGTCTAAACATGTCATCATCTATTGTGTCGAGAACATCTTCTAAAAGATCACTGAATGTCATCTCACCTGCGAAGCCTTGAGTGTAGACAGAAACAAGCCTTTCGAAAGGCTCTCTGACAAAAACTACTTTTGTGTAAGTTCGGAAGATGTTTTCCACCATTGTCAAGTTGTAACTGGTTTGTTGCTTGGAAACCAATGATGAGTTGAGGACGTTATTGTCAATGACTGGTGTCTCTATTGTTACATCATCTCTTCTCTTAATCTTTTGCAGGAGATTTTCCCAAAGATCCATTCCGGAGGTTCCAGCCTTACAATACACAATTTGTAGCTTTTCATTCACTATCATTCTAGAGAGAAGATCCTCCACTCCATGTACGGATTCCAAACGACTGAGTTCAGGGTGTTGGGGACAAAATTCCCTTAGCCTTTTTTTACGCAGCTGTTGGACATACAGGAATTTGTCTGAAGTGTTGATGGACACATTTGGCTCTTCTTTATGGTTTTTCATTTTAGGGAGAATAGCTGAAAAAACAGCAAAATACAAGTTTAATATTATTTCATCTAATCCCAAAATTCAACTTCTGAAATGTAATCTTTAGTTTAATAGGAAAAATGCATCTAACCGATTGGCATAGGAAGAATGAAAATCAGGAGGGGGACAACAATAAGGAAATCCCTCACCATTTTAAGAGCATGTTTCAAAACAAGGCATAAAAGGCATACTGTTACTGGGAAACTTCACCGATAGCTATGTGTACCAGGTATGAGTTTATTTATTTTATTAGTTTTGTAGAGAGCTATTTAAGATTTAGGATTTCGGAAAATAAAAGATGGGATATGTAGTTTAAACCTCACCTCCGAACCCATGTAAATGTGCACATTCTCACTAAACCTTTGATGCATCACTTCCATACACAATACATGTGCCCACTGCCTGGCTGTTAGAATGCAGCCACTGTTATTTGAAGCTTGTAGGTTCCCATACAGTGCGAGAAAGGGGTGACCTTTTACAGACCAACTGTCCAATACAGAGGGACTAAATGGAATTACAGTCGAAAATTGGTTTTCCTCCTGGATGAAAATTTACAACAGATTGGGGAGAAGGTAAACCAGGGTTTACTTTTTAATCTAGATATCATCTTGCATTATTTTGGAGCGCTCAATATGCATGTCTGCCCACCATAACAGCCAGGCCCAACCCCCCATAACACACTTTTAATAATTACTGGACTTCTAAATGCACCCAAACAACTTCACCTGAATGAAGTGGTTTGGGCGCAGTGGCCATGTTTTTTAATCGTGCAATGTGAGAGGTAACAGTTTTACAATGTGTCCACTGCAGGGCTAGACTCGCCCCTAGTGGCTATCTACCAGCCAGCCATTTGAGGCTCTTCTGTAGCAAAAATGAAGGGAAACTCAATCATGTGACCAAACGCTGCTTGTAGGAAAGTGTTAAATTCAATACTTTTTTATGTGAAGCATTTGATTGGATCCACGTGTGGCACTTATGTGCACCTTGTTCCCAATGCTCCTGTACGAGGTTCCTTGGATGTGACATCCATTGCCGAAGACATTTCTTTACTTTTACTTTGCCAAAGAAGGGGCTCAATTTAAATAGGGAACAGGGCACTATAGTATTAGAAATACAGGCTTGTATTCCTAACACTATACTGTTCCTTTAAGTTGTTTTAACATGTATAAAAATCACAGCTGAATTATTAAGATTAGAAAAATTGTCTGACTTAGTATGGGCACATTTCTTGTTCCTAACTCCCTAAACACTCCCTTTCTCTAGAAGCATAAAGGGTGTTTCTATTTCCTTATTTACTTTATACATTTCTGTTTCTATTTTGCCATCTTTAGGATTATGAAGCCCAATTACCTGAAATGGCAACTCGCCGGAGAAAATAGTGTAAACATCTGCCAAGTCAGTGATGTTCATCTCGTGATAGAAATGTGGAATGTACGTAATTACATCATCGCATGAACTTAACGCTCACATCAGAAAATGAATCATAAGCTGAAGGTACAGTGTGAAAAGTACAGTGTGATCAATGTCTACTGTACAGGAAATAGCTGGTATCAAAAATAAGGATCAAATGCCAGACTTCATTTTCAAGTTTAGCTGAATTCCTTTGTAATTTATTTCATGGACATCATTTTATCAAGTTCAAAGGGTTTAAAGAGGATATAAGGAGAACATTAACTTCTATTGGCATGTTGTGGTACACCCTGTTCCAAATTAGTATGCAAATTCTATTTAAGTGTCACAAAGATTAAATATGTTGTTTTTCAGTTTAACTCATGGATGGCATTGTGTCTCAGGGCTCTTTTGATCAGTGAAAACAATCTCGGACACCTGTGATAATTAGATTGCCAGGTGAGCCCAATTTAAGGAAAAACTACTAAAGGAGGGTGTTCCACATTATTAAGCAGAGCACCATTTTCATGCAATGTGGGGAAGAAAAAGGATCTCTCAGCTGCCAAAAAGAGTGAAATAGTTCAATGCCTTGGACGATGTATAAAAACATTAGATATTTCATGAAAACTTAAGCGTGATCATTGCACTATTAAGAGATTTGTGGCTGATTTAGAGCACAGACGGGTTCGTGCAGATAAAGGCACATTGAGGAAGATTTCTGCCAGATCCATGCATCGGATTAAGAGAGCAGCTGCTAAAATACCATTACATGGCAGCAAACAGATATTTGAAGCTGCTGGTGCCTCTGGAGTCCCACGGACATCAAGGTGTAGAGTCCTCCAGAGTCTTGCAACTGTGCATAAACCTTCTATTCGCGCCACCACTAACCAATGCTCACAAGCAGAAACGGCTGCATTGGGCAGAAAAATACATGAAGACTAATTTTCAAACAGTCCTGTTCACTAATGAGTGCCGTGCAACCCTGGATGGTCCAGATGGATAGAGTAGTGGATGGTTGGTGGACGGCCACCCTGTTCCAACAAGGCTGTGACGTCACCAAGGCGGTGGTGGAGTCCTGTTTTGGGCTGGAATCATGGGAAGAGAGCTGGTCGGTCCCTTTTGGGTCCCCGAAGGTGTAAAGATGACCTCTGCAAAGTATGTGGAGTTTCTGACTGACCACTTTCTTCCCTTGTACAGAAGGAAGAACTATGCTTTCCATAATAAAATCATCTTTATGCATGACAATGCACCATCTTATGCTGCAAAGAATACCTCTGCATCAATGGCTGCTATGGGGATAAAAGGAGAGAAAGTCATGGTGTGGCCTCCATCCTCCCCTGACCTCAATCCTATTGAGAACCTTTGGAGCATCCTCAAGCAAAAGATCTATGAGGGTGGGAGGCAGTTTACATCCAAACAGCAGCCCTAGGAGGCTATTCTGACATCTTGCGAACAAATTCAAGCAGAAACTGTCCAAAAACTCACATGTTCAATGGATGCAAGACTTGTGAAGCTGCTATCAAATAAGGGGTCCTATGTTAAAATGTAATGTGACCTGTTAAAATGTTTAAAAAGTTAAAATGTTGTTATAAGTTTGATTGAAATAGCTTTTGAGTTCAGTAAATATGCTGCAAACACAACAAATGACAATTTTCAGTTCTTTACAACCTATAAAGTGCTTTGAAACTTACTGTGCGTAATAATTTGGAACAGTGCATTGTAAGTTTGTTATGTTTAAAAAAAATACTCTTATCATTAGGAGGTTTGTTCAATAAAATTTGAATTGTACTCTTAATAGTTGATAACATGAGAATTATGCTGACTGTTATTTACATCAATTATTTAGGTAAATGAGAAAAATATAATTTGCATAATAATTTGGAATAGGGTGTATATATGGATATATATGCACGCCAGGGCTTAGAATATTAACTTGCCACTAGCCACCAACAGTGAAAACAGCAGAAATTCACCCCTGGTGAGTGTGCCATGATTACACAGGGTTATGTAGACAGAGCCCAACAAGCCGTGGGCAAAGGCTAATTATGAGGGTATGGTCTAGCTCCTCAATATCCTGAAACTTCACCAGCCCTGGAATACACTCAGAGACAATTTTTGCCCCAAGTGGCTGCTAAGTGTATTCCTTGAAATTATACAAAACATAATGTTAAAAAGATGTAAACAAAACCCACCATATAAATAAATTAAATACAGTACCTGTATGCTGTCTCACCCAAAAATAGTGGCCAGGGCATTTATTGTTAACGCTTGACAATATGAATAATGGTTTTATAAGGTCATTTTATTCCTGACTTTTTTTTTTTTTTTTTAATCTCTTAGGTTAATAGTTATGTAAATAATTATATTGAAGAAATAAAGAGTTACTATGTATTTATTATGTACTGTGTCTATACGGTAGGAGAGAGGTAGATGAGCTGTTTTTAATTTACATAGCACTTCGCTGGTTATAATCCACAAACTATGTGTTTTTGTGCAGCTAAGGACAGGATGCTATGTAGCTAATTTTGGTCACCGTACAAGTTGTGCAACAGCTGGATGTGTCAGATCGTGTTCTAAATCCTCACGTGTCTCCAGAGTCCCAGGTGTAAATACCTTTACAGAAAGTTACATCACAGATATGCAAAGTAACTGATCACATGGTATTTGGGTGACGAGCCCTGACACAGATCCACAGTGTCAGCTTATGACCAGTATAGGACATTCGAGGAACAACAGAGGCAGCGCCCCCTGCTGCAAATCAATGTGTACTGCATAGAAAGTGACATACCTAGGAAACCAGCATGCTATAATAATTATTGCTACCTTTATTACAATTGCTAGTGACTGCATAGGGTGCGGGAAAAATAGGGGCGAGTTGTTGGAGAGGGTGAGGGAGATTTATTGGATAGGGTGAGGGAATCAGAGAGATTTGTTGGATAGGGTGAGGGAGTGAGGGGGATTTGTTGGATAGGGTGAGGGAGTGAGGGAGATTTGTTGGATAGAGTGAGGGAGTGAGGGAGATTTGTTGGATAAGGTGAGGGAGTGAGGGGGATTTGTTGGATAGGGTGAGGGAGTGAGGGGGATTTGTTGGATAAGGTGAGGGAGTGAGGGGGATTTGTTGGATAGGGTGAGGGAGTGAGAGCGATTTGTTGGATAGGGTGAGGGAGTGAGGGAGATTTGTTGGATAGGGTGAGGGAGTGAGGGGGATTTGTTGGATAGGGTGAGGGAGTGAGGGAGATTTGTTGGATGGGGTGAGTGAGGGGGATTTGTTAGATAGGGTGAGGGAGTGAGGGGGATTTGTTGGATAGGTGAGGGAATGAGAGCGATTTGTTGATAGGTGAGGAGGAGATTTAAGGGATAGGGTGAGGGAGTGAGGGGGATTTGTTGGATAGGGTGAGGCAGTGAGGGGGATTTGTTGGATAGGGTGAGGGAGTGAGGGAGATTTGTTGGATAGGGTGAGGGAGTGAGGGAGATTTGTTGGATAGGGTGAGGGAGTGAGGGAGATTTGTTGGATAGGGCGAGGGAGTGAGGGAGATTTGTTGGATAGGGTGAGGGAGTGAGGGAGATTTGTTGGATAGGTTGGAGGGAGTGAGGGGGATTTGCTGGATAGGGTGAGGGAGTGAGGGGGATTTGTTGGATAGGGTGAGGGAGTGAGGGAGATTTGTTGGATAGGGTGAGGGAGTGAGGGGGATTTGTTGGATAGGGTGAGGGAGGGAGATTTGTTGGATAGGGTGAGGGAGTGAGGGAGATTTGTTGGATAGGGCGAGGGAGTGAGGGAGATTTGTTGGATAGGGTGAGGGAGTGAGGGAGATTTGTTGGATAGGTTGGAGGGAGTGAGGGGGATTTGCTGGATAGGGTGAGGGAGTGAGGGGGATTTGTTGGATAGGGTGAGGGAGTGAGGGAGATTTGTTAGATAGGGTGAGGGAGTGAGGGGGATTTGTTGGATAGGGGGAGGCAGTGAGGGAGATTTGTTGGATAAGGTGAGGGAGTGAGGGGGATTTGTTGGATAGGGTGAGGGAGTGAGGGAGATTTGTTGGATAGGTTGCTTGGGAGGTAGGGAGATTTGTTGGATAGGGAGGCAGTGAGGAGATTTGTTGGATAGGGAGGCAGTGAGGAGATTTGTTGGATAAGGTGAGGGAGTGGGGGATTTGCTGGATAGGGTGAGGGGTGGGGATTTGTTGGATAGGGTGAGGGAGTGAGGGGGATTTGTTGGATAGGGTGAGCAGTGAGGGGATTTGTTGGATAGGGTGGGAGTGAGGGAGATTTGTTGGATAGGGTGAGGGAGTAGGGAGATTTGTTGGATAGGGTGAGGGTAGGGAAATTTGTTGGATAGGCGAGGGAGTGGGGAGATTTGTTGGATAGGGTGAGGGAGTGAGGATTTGTTGGATGGGGTGAGGGAGTGAGGTTGTTGGAGAGGGTGAGGGAGATTTATTGGATAGGGTGAGGGAATCAGAGAGATTTGTTGGATAGGGTGAGGGAGTGAGGGGGATTTGTTGGATAGGGTGAGGGAGTGAGGGAGATTTGTTGGATAGAGTGAGGGAGTGAGGGAGATTTGTTGGATAAGGTGAGGGAGTGAGGGGGATTTGTTGGATAGGGTGAGGGAGTGAGGGGGATTTGTTGGATAAGGTGAGGGAGTGAGGGGGATTTGTTGGATAGGGTGAGGGAGTGAGAGCGATTTGTTGGATAGGGTGAGGGAGTGAGGGAGATTTGTTGGATAGGGTGAGGGAGTGAGGGGGATTTGTTGGATAGGGTGAGGGAGTGAGGGAGATTTGTTGGATGGGGTGAGTGAGGGGGATTTGTTAGATAGGGTGAGGGAGTGAGGGGGATTTGTTGGATTGGGTGGTGGGAGGGAGTGGGACTGTAAATTTATATCAGGGTTAAAATGAATGTCAGTCCTGTATCCACTATTGATTTTAAATCATACTGAATTGAAGTAATAATTTACAACAAATTAACTTCACAAGGTCCGCTTTTTATATGGCTTTACTGTATCTTTAATTAGAATAAGCAAGTAGTCAAAACACAATAACGCGCACGTATAGACATTAATCCAAAGTGTCGTACAGAGTCATTCCATGTAATGCAGTCACTAGCTTTAAAGGAACACTATAGGGTCAGAAACACAAACATATATTCCTGACCCTATAGTGGTAAAATCACTATCTAGTCCCCTCCCCCCACCTCTAAATATAGTAAAATCTTATTTTTATTCCACTCAGACTCTGCACCTGATCTCCCTACTTGGCTGACATCATCAGAAATTATGATCTCAGCCAATCACAATGATTTCACATAGGAAGCATTGGATTGGCTGAGATTGCCAAGGAGGTGGGGCAGCATGCGGAGACAAATGCCACGATTGCCAATCAGCATCTCCTTATATAGATGAATTGAATGAATGCATCTCTATGAGGAAAGTTCAATATCTGCATGCAGAGGGTGTAGACACTGAATGACAGTCACTCTGTGCAGCAGTGCCCCAGGAAGCACCTCTAGCAGCCACCTAAGGAGTGGCTAGTGGAGGTACCCCTAAGCTGTAATGTAAACACTGCTTTTACTCTGAAAAGTATTTACTGCAAAAAGGGAATGATTCTACTTACCGGAACAAATACAATAAGCTGTAGTTGTTCTGGTGACCATAGTGTCCCTTTAACTGTGTGCATTTATAGACACTGTAAATTGCAATATATTCAGTTCATTACTGCAATATATATACTAAACAGGGATACATCTGGTTATATTATTATATTATATATTTTTCAGCACTCCTGCCATACACAGCCATCCAAATGGGGAAAAAGAAAGTATGAAATATCTCTATGAACTAATTACAAAGTTATACTAATGTTTATTGCCAAAAGATAAAGGCAATTAAACAGCACTGCGGAATATGTTGGTACTTTATAAATAATAATAATAATATCTTTAGTAAATCATTTTTATTACATCAATACACATTCACAAGTACACACACACACACACAGACACACTCACATGTTTGCACACAATCACAGAAACACAGAGACAAACACACACACTCACATGTTTGCACACAGTCACAGAAACAATAACACACACAGTTACAGACATTTTTGAACATGTATCACCTGTTTGCTGGTTGGAGATCACGTGAATTATTTTTGTCCACAAGTAAAGTAAGACCACTACAATAAGCAGTGTGAGGATTCTGTAGAAAAAATGCATTTTCTGGCTGTGGTTAATTTAAACTAGTTGGTAAAATGCCGCATTCTGTCCACCATAGCTGTGCTGTGCTTCCCATGTGTGTCGCCTCTCACCCTAAAACAGGGTTAAAGTGCAGCTCGGCCTCCTGATTGATCTCACAGACAAGTCAACAAATCAAGAGGGCATTTTACCTTTTCACTGACTTAGATTAAACATTTCCAGAACACGGCTCATGTTAATGCTAATGGAACAGTAACAAGGCCACCTGTACAACTGGTTACTTACAATCACTATAACTCATCTATGCAAATGAAAAGCTTTGTAAACTACAATCAGGTATTACTATGTATCATGTGCATCAGATCTGTCAGGAATAACCTGCCAGACATATTTAGTAAAGTAAGAATTTCAGGATTGGTGAATTTCAAATTTAAGGCTAAAAAGTCAACTATGTTTTTAATTCGGCTCTTTTGGCCTAAGATATGAAATTCAGTTTGAATTCACAAGAAGTCATAGTTTAAAGTCGTCATTTTACCTCTATAAGCTAAACCCGAATAATTAATAGGAAAAAAAAAAAAGTATGTTTTTCTTGTTTACGGGAAGTGCGCAAAGATGAAATGGGTTAACTCGGTGGTTTGCAGAAATAATTATTGGCTGAATGATTGGGACGGTTCCCAATAAAATTAAAGGAAACTATGGTGTAAAACGTACCTGCTATTTTTGGTTATTGCTTTAAAAATGAATGGGAAAAAAATGTAAATTCAAAATTTCTGTTAAGGCACGGTATAACTGCTGTATTGCATCTGTGTCCACTAGAGGGAGCCAGTAGCTAAGGCCAGCTGATTACAGTATATGGTACAATAACAACAATAACAGGGTTAGTTAGTAAACGGAGAATTTAAAGTGATTTTAAAGTGAATTTCTAATTTAAGATGAAAATAGCTGAACTGAAAAAAAATCCAGCTGTACTTTCAGGTCTGCTACTCCAACACCTTAAATTCTCACTTTAGTTAATATCCCTGTAAATATAACTCTTACCGTGATCGATTACCATAGTTATTGAATATTGCACCCAGTAACACATTTATATCTCATTCTACTATCAACGAACGTCAGTACATTTTGTTTAAGGTTTGATCAGGGTGAAAAAGTGGATTCCGTATCATATGAGAAGATTGTATCCATAAATAAACACAATGTGAATATGTAGAGTCGATGCTTGACTGCTGACTCCTTCGATCACCAAATCCCGTTACCCTTCCATTCCCAATACATAACGCAACACCATGTTAAGTGGGTAAGGGCAACGACCACAGCTTTATTTAAACTAGCATACCCAAATACTGTCAGCTGCTGGTTTTACCCAGCACCCAGCAGACAGGTACACTTTAAACTTCTTCCAGAGCCTCTTCAGCCTGTCCTTCGTCATCAACCAAATTCAGGCTGTGACTCTCCAAGCCCGTCCAGGCATTATTCATTTACCAAACTTGCTGGTGCAGGAAACCTGCCACCGCAGATTCCACCCCTACTAGAGGGAGGGGGATGTGTCCCCCAAAGCCAGCGCCTGTGTCATTATTGATTGTAACCCCATATTAAATGTACAAAAATATAAGTCCTGCGCTCACTCCCATCACTCCTGGAGGCAGTAACGACCACAGTACATATAAGCCCCAATATATAGTAAAAACCAAAGAAAAAAAGGTTACCTGCGCTCTCTCCTTAATCCCTATGTATATTTAGACAAATGGAGGTCATTTAGTTACTCTAATGGCCATTGGAGGGAATACCCACCTGCCAACATCAACGCAGACCCCCCTAAGCGTTACTAGGGCCCTCTGTTTTCTCCTCAGCCTCTGGAACCCCAAAGTCTGCCATAACCCTATGAAAGTGGAACAACAAGTTTGTACAAACCTGAGAACCTGACTAGTGCAGAAGAAATGGACAAACCGCTACACTGTGAGGAATTAGCCAGACCGACAAACAAGTAGTCGTCGAGATAGTGAAGGAGAGAAGAACAGCCCAACACCCGCGCCATAATCCATTCCAACAAGGAACAGAAAACTTCAAAATAAAAACAAAAATCGAACAACCCATGAGAAGGCACATGTCGAAGAAAAATCACCCTGAATCTGACACCCCAACAGATGAAAACAATCTGGGTGAACTGGCAGCAACCAAAAAGCCAACTGGATATTGGGCCCCGGGTCCTGCCCCACAAACCAAGTCCAAAGCCCGATTGAAAGAAGCATGTCGAATCTGAAGTCCTCCTTTGAAATCCCATCATGAACCGAGGACCCCGACGGGTAAGACAGATTTCCGCCATACGCCCCAGTTCCACCCTCCTGACGGAGTAAACGGGAAAACCTGAGGTCCACATACTCACC